CGGCAGGTGCAGGGGCCCTGCCTGCCGAGGACCTGGCAGACCGTGATGTCCCTGGGCACAGTGGGACCACTGCAGGCCAGCACCCGCCCGCCCTGGAGGAAGGGGTTCTGAGCTGGCAGACACTGACATGCCAGTGTCTCCCCTTGGTGATACCCATTGCCCTGCACATGGGCACTCAGCGTCACCTGCATGTGCCGGAGGGCGTGGGGTCTGAGGGCCCAGCTGAGTCCTGGGGCGTGAGCTCGGGAGGTGACCGGGCATTTAGGCTGCCACAGAGCGAGAGAAGGAGACGGGTCCAGAGCAGCCCCCCGCCCCACAGCCACTCCTGCAGCCCCTTCGCCGTACCCGCCCCCACCCCTGCGGTAGCCGTGAAACGGGCCACAGTGGGGCTCTCACAGGGGCAAGGGTGACGGAAATAACATGTGGAGCTCTGGACACAGCGCCGGGCACACAATAGGTGCTTAATAAAGGCCCATAACTGCCCCCCCACCAGGCCCCACCGTCTTACCAAACTCCTCCTTGGCCCCTGGTGACCTGGAGGAGCCGGTGGCCCTGGGGGGCAGGTCTCCCACCTGGTTACCTGGGCAGCCCCCTTCCCCCCTCAGGAGTGTAACGTGGGCGCCCCCCCCCCGCTAGGTGTCACTGTGTGCTCAGGTGTCACAGCGGGGTGCCGGGAGCCCCAGGATGTGTCAGCTCCAGCCCTCCTGTGTCCCGGGTGGGTGTGCTGTGGGGAGGCAGCACGGGGCAGGAGACTGAGGCTGTGGTCCAAGTCGTGCCACCCGCCAGTTTCCCATGGTGTCTGATTCCCCTTCCATAAAGCGGGGCTGTGTGCAGGGGTACGTGCCGGGGCCGCAGCGTGGGTGGTGGTGAAGGCACTCAGGGTGCGGGGTGGATACAGACAGGCTTCATAATCCCCAGGGAGGCCCCCGGAGCACCAGTGTGGAAGCAGCTGGGGCTCCCAGGGCCCCCCTGACACCCAGCCATCCACTTGCTCAAGTGCCAGCCAGGACTGAACGTTTTGAATATTGCCCCCAAGGATGGCAGGATGCCGTGGGAGGAAGGCCAGATGGATCTTTGCCCTGTGACCCTACAGAGGGTCCTGGGCTGGTCAGAGAGGAGGCCCTGCCTCTAGACGCCCACAGCCCAGGAGACTCCAGATAAGGCCATTATTGAGCCCCTCGAAGCCCCATCCCCAGTGTCCCCAGGCCGGGTATACCTAGCCCCAGGTGTACCCAGACCCAGTGTACCCAGACCCGGTGTCTTCAGACCCAGATGTCCCCTGACCCAGTGTCCCCAGACCCGGATGTCCCCTGACCTGGTGTCCCCAGCCCTGGTGTCCACTGACCTGGTATCCCCCGACTCAGTGTCCCCAGACCCAGTATCCCCAGACCCAGTGTCCCCAAGCCCAGCCTCTCCTGCTAGCTCTAAGCAATCTGGCCGAGGGAGCCCGAGGCACCCCATGGCCTGGGGAGGGGCCTTCAGGTCCAGAGCAGGATCAAGGCTGGACAGGTTCTACAAAAATTTCCCTTGAAAGACACTTTTTCAAGATTTTTTTCTTGAAAACAAATTCATAACCACATCAAACAGAGCCCCCCGTCGCCCTGGGTTTAATCACCAGCGGCCCAGGGCCCTCTAACTAGCTGTTATTCTAATTGCTTTTTTCTCTTCCGAGAGCCGCATGCGCCGTCTGATAGTTATTAATTTGGCGAGTCAAGGCTGGCACAAAGGCGCTATTGTCTTCCTTGCCCTTTTAATCACTATCAAATTGCAAATAATGACTAGATCCAAGATCCCCAAAACTGATCCGACCCCGCAGCTCACAGGGACAGCCACCCTGGGCACCTGCCTGGACAGGCGCACCTCCCGCTGCTGGCCGCACCATGGTGGGGGGCTGGCCGGGCCTGCACCCTCCAGCCAGATGAGGTGGTCACTGGGCCCTCCAGGGTGTGCAGCTGTATGTGGAGGCTGCCCGCTGCACCCCAGGAAATGACAAGGGTGGTGTACCCTGGGATTGGGGCTGTGAGGGAGGGAAATGGGTTGCGCCGTTGGGCCGGCAGGTGGGAGGATCCTGCGGTTAGACCCTGCAGGCAGGCTGGGAGGCCCCATGGGTGGGAGGTCCCCACAGGCATGTGGGAGATCTACACAGGTGGGTGGGAGGATCCCAGGGCGGCCAGGAAGCTTCACAGAGGAGCAGGATTCTCTCTCCTCCTGGGACCTGCTCCTTGTTTGTGGGCAGATGAGGAGGTGTGAGGTCTGGGACTCTGGACAAGCTCTGGGATTCTGTCCCAGACCCTAGCTCACCCCCAGAGCCTCCCCAACTACAGCCTGGCTAATGGGAACAGGTCCCTGTGGCCAGGGACGCCGGCGAGCCCCTTGAAGCCGCAGTGGCCGTGGGCAGCAGCCTAGGGGCCTCGGCAGGCCTGGTGCCAGCAGAGCAGGTGGGGGCCCCCCGGTAAGGCGGCTCCAGGGCCACCCCAAGGGGCTCCAGAGAGGCAGCGTAGCTGTGCCACTCTCCTCCCCGCTTCCCGACGGGGGCGGCTGAGCACAGCTCCCCACCGTGCAGCCGTCACCCCCAGGGTGGCCCTTCGCCAGCCGCATCCCTGCCCCATCCCTGTGTTTCCACCCACCCTCGTGTTTCCACTTTTCCCAAGAAACCCCATTCAGGCTTCTGCTCTGCAAGCACATCGGGGCTCGATGTGTGTGCAAGGGCCACCAAGTTGAGAATCCGCAGAGCCACCCAGCTTCCTCTGAGCTGTGTCGGGGGCTCCAGTTGGGGCCACTCCAGCCAACAGTCAAGCTGGGGCTGTGCTTTAGAGCGCCGGGACGGCGGCCGGGCCAGCCTCGGTCTGTCCAAGATGGCCTCTGCCCCAGCCGGGGCCCTGCCAGGCTCTGCTCCTCACTCACAGGTCCCGGGCCTCGGTTTCCCCGTGTGGGCCCTGAAGGGGGAGGCCTGGGAGACCTCTGCTGCATTCCCAGAGGCTCCCAGGCCCGGCAGCGGGGAGGTGGCACCTTAGGTCTGCGGTGGAGACTCCACTGAGTTGTCTTTGTAGCTGACCCCCAAGCCATGCTCTCCGGGAAGTGGCCTGTGTGCTGGCCTTAGCTGAGGGAACCCCTCCCCCAGTCTCTCCAGGTATCATGGGAGGCAGGGGGAAGGGCAGCCCCTTTAGCCAAGTGCAGAGGGGCAGAAGGGCAGCCTAGCCCTCAGGGACCACCGGACACCGAGCATCGTCCTCCCCCAGGCCCCACACACCACAGCCCTGCAGTCCCACTCAACCCCCAACTCGGCACCACTTCCTGGCCCCCTCCTAGGGCAGGGTCCCTCAGACACCCCCAAACCCAAGGCAGACCTGGCTCCCTCACCTGGCCTCGGCCCGGCCCTGAGCTGTCCCGTGTCACCCCCACTGGGCCCACCACTCTGGGCCCTGACCTTCCCTGAGGGCCTCCAGCCGAGCCTGGCTCTCGGTTACTCCCTCACCCCTACTGGCCCCCCACGGGTCCTCCGCGGGACTCTTAGGACACCCGGTCACCGTTCATCTGGGGCGTCTCTGTTGACCAGCAGCCATTGCGCCTCGTGTGTCCCAGGTCCTGTCCCGCCATCCCCTCCTGCTCCTGGGGGGAAGGTGTGCCCCCCGCCTGGGGCCTGAGTGGCTCTGGGGGTTGGTGCAGATGGGGCCCTGCTTTCCTGGCTGCAGGTGCTGGGATGAGGGTGTACCGCACAGAGTGGGGGGCATGGCACCTGAGGGGCAGGGGCCCCAGGAGATGTGAACATTGGGCCCGGGTGGACAAGAGGCCCGCCTGGGCGTCTTTCCTGGAAGAGATGTGGCTAGCACCCCTCACCCTCCCTGACGGGCCAGGCCTTGCCTCCTGAGCCCTATCTGTCTGGGAATCAGCTGTCCCAACACCCCCTTCTCGCTCCCTGCCCGTGCCAGCTGCTGACCCCAGCCCGGGGACACCGAGCTTCTCCAGGCTGCACAGATGCCGCCCCAGCCTCCCTTGACCCCCAGACACCCCCGCGGCCCGGCCCCCAAAAACCAAGGGTGGCAGCAAAGCCAAAGGCTGCAGGTCCCTGGTGCAGACCTGTCATGCCCAGACCCTGGAGGGCCCTGGTGGGGGCGCTGAGAGGTAACCCACAGTGTCCATGCTCCAGCCACCAAGTCCCAGGGCAAGGACCAGCCACCCTTGCCCTAAACCCCAGGAGGGAGCGAGGTCCCCAGAGTCGGAGAGGAAGGGTGGCCCACCATGTGTCCACACAGGTGCACACACAGCACATGGGGGATGGAGGCTTACCCACGCACACACACACACACCCCCCACACGCACACACAGATTTATGCACACAGCACACAGGAGGTGGAGATGTACCCACACACGCGTGCACTTTCCACACACACGTGTACACCCCACCTGCACACACACATACACGTCCCACACGCACACACACACCACATACACCCCACACGTGCGCACACCCCACACACACACACGCACACCCCATACACACGTGTACACACACACACACGGACTCACGCACACACAGCGCACGGGAGGTGGAGGTGCACACACACCCACACACACACACACAGGGACTCACGCACACACAGCACACAGGGAAGGTGGAGGTGCACACCCACACACACCCACACACACACACACAGGGACTCACGCACACACAGCACACAGGGAAGGTGGAGGTGCACACACACCCACACACACACAGGGACTCACGCACACACAGCACACAGGGAAGGTGGAGGCACACCCGCACACACGGATGTACACCCCCGCACGCACACACGCCCGATGACGGGGTGGCACACATGGCAGGTGTCCCCACGCACACAGACGTGTGTACTGCCCATACACAGCACGTGTGTACCAAACACCCAGGGATGCAGGCCTAGGCACACGCCTTCCCTGGGGCCTGGGGGAGCCCCGAGGCGCCGGCACACCTGGACGCCCCACCCTGCCCCACCCAAGTCACTTCTGCTCTGTGCTTGCAGGTGACGCAGCTGGACCAGAGACTGGTGCTCATCACCGACCTGCTCCACCAGCTGCTCGCCCTCCACCCCGGCGGCACCCCCGGCGGCGGTGGGGGCCAAGCGGCCCAGCCCGGTGACATCAGCTCCTTCAACCCTGAGCTCTTCCTGCCCAGCAACTTTCTGCCCACCTACGAACAGCTGACCGTGCCCCGAAGGGCCACCGACGAGGGGTCCTGATGGGGCTCAGTGCGGCCAGCAGGCCTGTGAGGGGAACCGCGGAGGGGACCCCCCTCCACCCACCTCTCCCTCAGCAGGAGCACTCCCGGCCACCTCCTGGAAGGCCCAGGAGGACAGCCCCACTCTCCAGGGCCCTGGACACCTGGGGCTCGTGAAGCCACCTCTCCCAGCCAGCAGGTCCTCGACCTTGCTTGGGGGGTGGGGCGCCTAGCAGGTCTGAGCCCCAGTCCCTATCCCTACAGTCTTGCACGGTGGCCAGTACAGGGTGGTGGGGGCCAGGCTGGGCTTCCCAGGGGCTGGGGGCACCTGCTGGGCCATGTATGGCTGAGAAGCAGTGCAGGCAAAAGCTCCAGGAGCTTTCTAAGGGAGGCAGAGGGGCAGCCTGGGTAGGGTCTGCAGGCTTGTCCCAGCCTCAAATCCAGGTACCCAGGGAGGAGCAGGCAGGCCAGGCCCACGCCCAGCAAGGCAGCCCAGGATGAAAGCGGCTGCCCTGATCGGCGCCCTGGGCCTGGGCCTCAGCTCCCGGGCCTGGGCCTCAGCCCCCCGGGCCTGGGCCTCAGCTCCCGGGCCTGGGCCTCAGCTCCCGGGCCTCTCTTAAGAGATGCTGACCTGGGGGCTGGGGATGCTGCTGCCTGAGCCACAGCCTCCTGGGAGGGTCAGACCCCACCCCATCTGCACGGCCACATCACAGGGCTGGGTGCCATGGAACAAGGTGGGCAGGGGGAGGCGGCCTCTCCCACCCATTCCAGAGAGGAGAGGAGGCCCCCAAGCCCCACTCTACACACAGCCTCCCCTCCTACCCGGTGGGAGCAGCTGGACAGACAGACGGACGCCAGCTCACAGCACTGTCCCCTCCCTCAGCGCCTGCTGGGCTGAGGCAGGGCTGAAAGGGCGCCACGGCTCCCACCCGGGACAAGGACCCTTCTGGGCATCACAGCTTACAGAAATCAGAGCGATCTTGCGGTGATTTGGAACCTGAGTTTAATGAGCCTCACGGTGTGGTTTTGATTAATTGCGCGGGCTTTTCCTAATAAACAGGGAGAATCACGGGTTTGTCTCAGCAACTTTGTTTGCCTGGGTTCCTGGGGGTCGACCACATCTTGGAGACAACCTGCTTCAGCCCTTTCTCCCCCTAGAGCTGCCGTGCCCCCCGCACCCAGACCTCACACAGGCCCGCTGTCTGTCTCTCTGTCTCTATTTCTCTGTCTCTCATCTTGCTGTATCTCTGTGTGTCTCTGTCTCGCTCGCTCTCTCTGTGTCTCGGTCTGTGTCTCTGTCTCTCACTGTCTCTGTGTATCTCTGTCATTGTCTCCCTGTCACTGTGTGTCTGTCTCTGTCTCTCCATCCCCTCCTGCATGTCCAGGCACACCGCACAGCATTCTGACTATTTCTCAATCCTCTGGAATCCTTCCCCGATCCTATCCTCCTTGCAAAGCCCCCGCCCCCAAATTCCCAGCCTTTGGGGCAGCAGCGGGTAGGGGGAGCATCTGAGATTTCAAGGTACAGGGCTGTCCCGAGGCCAGCATCAGAGGCAGCAGGCAGCCAGCACTGGGGAGGGGGATCTAGGTTGGGGGTGGTGGCTGAGGACCCCCTGAGAAGAGGCCAGTCCCCCCACCCCCCACCCCGGTCACACCTCCCGGGCCAGCCCCGCTCAGGGACTTGGCATCTGGCCTGGCAGGATGGTGGGGGCGGGGGCAGCACAGGGCCTCTGGGGCTTCCCCAGCCCCGCACCCACCGAGGGGGACAATTCCTGGAAAGGCAGCGCTCTTGTTTCCGTGTTGAGTAAATATTTGTGGAAACCCTGGGAAGCGCTGCTGGAAAGCGGGGCTCCCTGCGGGCGCCCGGGCCCCAAGCCCCGGCCAGCGGCCCTTGGTGGGTGCGGCCTCCACCGGCCGCTTTGTCTGCGTCCAGCCAGCCTCGCACAGTGTCCCAGCGCCGCACTTCTGGACGGGCGAGTCGGGGACGGGCGCCATTGCTGCGCTCTGGGGTGTGAAATGCAATTTACCTGAAATAAAGCCCAATTATGGAATTAGCTAATTAAGGCCGCGGAGGAGGCCTGGCCACTCAGCCCGCGGCCGCACGGGCCCGGGGACAGATGGCGCCCCTGCCGCCGAGCCGCCGCATTCCTTCACTTGGCCCGCTGGCTGGCTTGCACAGCACACGACCATCTGGTGTGTGACCCGTCTTGTGTGCCCGCACAATGGCCCGGCAGACCTCTCGGGAGAGGGCTGTCACCCAGGCAACACAGCATGTGCGGCCCAGCCCCGCCGCCCCCGCCCGGCCCCCGCCCGGCCCTTTGTAGGCCTGGCCCGGATGCCGGGCGGCACAGCGCTGACAACGTCCGAGGGCATTTTGTCCACAGCGCCCGCCTTTGTCTCTAAATTGGGCTCCTTATTGAGGTCCTCGGTGCCCAGTGGAGGCCGGCACATCTGCTCGGGTGGCGGGTGGGGCGGCCAGGGAAGAGGAGGCTGCCTGCCACCCGCGGCTGGGGGCGCCCACCTCCTCTGCCCACGGGCCCCCCGCCAGCAGCCCCTGGGGGGAAGGCAGGCTCGAGGTGGCCAGCCCCACATGAGGCTGTCCGGCTCTGGGCCAGGGCGGCGGGAGGTGGCCAGGGCAGGGCCAGCCTTTCCCGTCCACCCTTCCTGTCTAGTGATAGTGCCCCCTGGCAGGGGCGGGGTGGGGCTGATGGAGATATGCCCTTGGCACACACGCGTGCGCACGCACACACACACACACACAAAACCAAAACCCACTGCTGTCGAGTCGATTCTAACTCATAGTGACCCTGTAGGACAGAGTAGAACTGCCCCACAGGGTTTCCAAGGAGTGGCTGATAAATTTGAACTGCCGACTTTTCGGTTAGCAGCCTGAGCTCTTAACCACTGTGCCACCAGGGCTCCCTTGGCACACAGTAGGTGCTTAATAAAGGCAGCCAACCTGTGCACCCTGCCTGCCCCCTTCAATCTCTCAACGCCCAGACACGCCAGCCCATTCTCCCTGGAGCCAGAGTGAGCCCCCCCAAGCCAAGAGGCTGCCCCGCTGGCCTCCCCTGGCCGGCTCTGCCCCGCTGCCCAGGACCTGGCTGCTCATGCTGCCCCCACAGCAGGCAGGCTGACTGCCTGCAGCCTCTCCCCCACACGTGTCCGCTCAAGACCTCCTGCGCGGGGGTGGGGCCGTGCTGGCACCCTCAGGTCCCATGGAGGCTGGAGCCCGGGACCAACTAGAGTGCTCAGGAGGTGCCAGTTACATTCAAGAATAAAGACCTTTCTAGCAGCTGGAACACAGGCGGGCACCACCAGGCGGGGAGTCCAATGTCCCCACCCAGACCCGTGAGGGAGGGGCTCAGGACGGGTGCTTTGGCCTGGGGCAGCCAGACAGTGGGACAGGGAGAGTCTGAGAGCCCAGCCTGTGACGGCCTGGTCACCTGTGGGGTTGGGGATTCCCTTCCAAACATGCAGCCAGGCCTGGATTTGGGGAGCCCTTCCCTCCCTCAGCAGAGCCTGAATCCCCAACAGCCCTTGGCCACCTCCTGGCATGGCCCTCGGGGCCCGGGTACCCCACCTTGCAGTTCTCAGCCCCCAGTGGCAGCCTCTGCCCCCTACATTGTGCGAGATGAAATCCGTGGCCAGGAGCCAGGGCTCCGCCCCCACCTGGGCAGCTGGGGCCACCAGGGCTGAACAAACAGAGCTAAAGCTTCCGCTGGCCCTCGAGAGCCGAGCCAGGCTGCTGGGCGCTGACCGCTTCTACCCGACCCTTTGCGACCCCATCTCGCAGCACGGCCTCGGAGGGGCACAGAGGGATCCCCGCCGTGTACCTCAGAACCCCGCAGGCCGGGGACCTCTGACCCCTCAGCCAGCTGCTGTTGTTTCACCTGCTGGGGAGGGTTGCCCCTGCTCCAGAGGCCCGGCCTGGGTGAGGGGTGAGATGGGGTGTTCGGGCGCTGGCCAGAGGCATTGGCCTGGAGAGCAATCTCCTCTAAAGACAGGGTCCCAGCAGTCATGGGACGCAGGCGGCGCCCTGCCCTGAGGCCCGGCACCAGCCGTGTGCTGGGAGGGAGGCCCAGAGCCCCCACCCCTAGCGGTCTCCTGTGCCCTGGGTCTGATTCTGTAACTCTGCCCTCCTTCAGCATGAGGGGCCCTGGGGGCCGCGGGCTGCACCCTCAGCCCCCCACCCCTCCACAACACCTAGTCAGGCAGGAGGGCGAGGAGGGAACTCGGCCCGGGGCAGCCCTGCAGATCCCTTCCCTCCTCCTGCCCTTCAGAGCCCCCCAGCCTGCCGTCCCAGCACCCCCTGCCTGTGCACCCAGGGAGCAGGTCTGCCCTTAATTCCCCAGAGCCTAGAGCACCCCGCCAACCCTGCTGAAGTCATTCCCTCAGCCCAGGGCCCCGCTTAGCGCCACCCCCTCCCACAAGCTTTCCCTAACAGCCCCTCTGAGAACCCATCCCCCTCCAGGTCCAGGGCAGGTGGAACAGGTGGGGGTCATTGTCCACAGACAGCAGCAGGGGCCCTGTCCTCATGCCCACTGCCCACCCTGGGCACACACCAAGGCTCAGGCAGGCAGCAGAAGCTGTGTTCACAGGGGCAGGGCCAGGAGGGCCCTCCTTGTGGGCAGGGGAGGCCCATGCCCCATCCACAGGCCCTGGTCCCTCCCGTCCCAGTGAGGACCCTGCTGTGGCCCCCTGAACACACCTCGTGCACGCGCTCCTCCCCGCCCCGGTCTGCTCCCCCTGGCTCGTGCGAAGCCATCAAGGCAGGGCACTGTTCAGGCTCCGTGAGAGGACGGGGTCCCCCACTCTGGTCACAGAGGGGACCCCTGCCCAGAAATGCTGTGTGGTTCATCTGTGCACCAGCAAGTCCAGGCCTCTGAATGCCCCACCAACCCCTGGTCACCCTGCTGCCAGACCAGGTCGCCCTGGGGTGGGGGGCGTCCCGAGATCCTGGGCGGTCCCCTCCCACTGAGCTCCGGGAGACCTGGCTAGCACCTCCAGCATGCCAGTGAGGCAGGGTCCCTTCCCTCTACCCCTCGCTGCCTCCCGCTCACGAGAAGAAACAGCCCAGAGGAGAGAGACAGAAGCCGTGCACGCAGCCCACAGGTGGCCAGGCACAGAGGGGCTGAAGCCTGCGGTCTCTGCCCAGCAGACAGGGCGGAGCCCAGCCCCTCCAGGCCAAGCCTTCAGGCCCGCAGTGCCACTCTGAGCCCCCCACCTCTCTGTGGAGCAGGGGAGACGGCATGTCCAGCCCCTGGAGCCCTCAGAGGATCCAGCAAGGGGCTTTGGAGGCACCAGGCCCAGGGCGGGCCCAGGAGAGGCCGGGTGGAGAGACAGGTCTGCCCTCATGCCTTTGTGGCCTCAAACCCCTGGCTCTTTCTGCTTGCTGGGTGAGGACCCAGGTGCGGTGGGGAGGGAGGGGGTGCTGATGTCGGCACCACAGTGACTCCCACCTGCCCCCGACTCTGGAAAACCCCCACCTCCTCCTCCCTGCCCCCTCCACACCTTCCCCAGCAAACGCTCTCTCTCTCTGGGCTTCCAGGCTGTAGGAAAAACACAGGTCTGTGATCTTCCTGCGGCACAAGGAGCTGAGCAACATCAAAGCAGCCGGGAGGGGGCTCAGGAGCCATCAGACAGCGCTGCACCCTCCTGCCGGCCACCGCTCGGGAAGCTGGCGGCAGTGGGGGCCTGGCGAGCCTGCACCCGGCCACCTGGTGACGGGGCGCTCGCGGGGGCACCCGTGGTGGGGGGAGACACTCGGAGAGGCTGCAAAGCACATGGCTCCTTCCGCTAGCGCCAATAGGGAAACAGAGGCCCGAGGGGGCGGGGCCCGGCCAGCACCTGTGTGTGCGAATTTGCATTGGCGAGGGCTCAGAGAAGAACCAGAGCATCCTGGGACTGAGAAGTGGTGGCTGGGCCAGGAAGCCAGTGAAGAGGGAACAATGGACTTGCAAAAGCAAAACGAGGCCTTCCCAGTCGCGGGGCTAGATGGGCCGGATGTGAGGAAAAGACAGAAAATTCCCAGGTGGTCAGAATGCGGCTTCTCCGCTGACCCACGAGAGCCAGGACACCTCAAAGCCCAATGCCACTGAGCGCCAGGTTGTCCATCCGAACACGCCCACTGGCTCCAACAAGGCTG